AAGAGTGAAGCTTTAGTGTTTGAAGGCAAGCTCTTTGCATGTCTTCAGTCTCAGTAATCACTAGGCTTTTCTAAGCTTTGTGGTGCAAGAGGTAACAGCAATGACATGAATGATTAGGAGACCAAAATAGGATTTTGGTCCTAACCCATCCATTGAAAAGCAACCCAGGAAGCATAATGCCACAAGCTGGTGGGGCCACTTTAGCCTTCTCCCCCTAGCCACAGAACATGCACCATTGCAGAGTGGAAATAGCACAGATGGGGTTAAACAGCTTCTACAAAAAGTCATTCCATGAGCTGGTGCTAAAGAACATGCCAGGTTTCCCAGCACACCAATACCTGTTTTCTTTCCATTTAGGTGCTATTAGGAATAGCTGCCAGAAAATCATGAAGTCTGTAGTCCTATTTCCAACAAAGCTTTTTGTCAAGTACTTCAGAAGAAGGTAAAGGTTTCTGTGAAAAGTTTAACGCTATTAAATACCCCAAGAAAGAAGTTTGTGCCTTACAGCCTAATGCATGGAGGTCAGCTGGCAGCTAGGATGGCAGCAGCAGCTCCCAGTTGGGGTGTTGTAGGTAAGGCCATACTACTAAAACTTCAGACATCTTTTGTTGTGGGTTCATATGATGGTACCATGCCATATCCCAGAGGGAATGCAGTGAGAGCTTCCCCCAGTATGGAGAAGATTCTTTTTAACAACCTGGAGAAAAAGCAGCTTGTGAGATTCAGCCTGTGCCTATTTCCTCTTACCTGAGAGGTGAAGCATGGCCAGAACCTTCTCAAGAGTTTGCTGGATACAAACACTGTCACTTCAGAAGTAGGCCTGAAAATACACAATTCCTGAAATCTACTGAGGTGTTTCTGCCTCTGTCTTACAGTGAGAAGTCCCACAGTTGAAAGATATGGCCAGCCTGCGCTTGTCAACAGGGATTTAAATCAGCTGGAACAAGAGGAATTGCCCAAATCCAGCAAAGCTATGTCAGACCTGGCTTGAAACTGAGTACAGCTTATGTGTCGTCAGGCCCCTGCCACAAACACAATGCTGATCTCCTCCACTCTCCTGCCTCCATACCCTGAGCAGCACCACTGCAGCTCCCTCTCCCCGTGAACTTCATACTACAAATGTAGGTCTTGTTTGTGCTCTTGAAACAACAGGTTGGAGTTCCTGTGCGGTGCCTCCATCAACCCGCGTATTTGTGAGATATCCCTTCTTTGTTTTCATGTAAGAAAAAAGTCAATAAAACCCATCAGTTCTCCCTTTTTTCAGACTTCTCATCTACTTCTCTGGCATCCAAACAAGCACACCTTCTGAAATCCCAGATTTTATCTTTCCCATAGGGACAAACACTTGGAATCCCAGAGGTAGCTACTTACAGCTATTTGAGCTCAGATGCTCCACTGAGATCAGCTTGCGAGGAATTCAGAGGTTTAACTTGAAAAAAACAATTGGTCAGAACAGCTGTGACTTATTTATAAATGCGTGGATTTATCAGCCTGGAGATTGCTGCAATCTTCTCCTTTGACCTTCCACTCAGCCAGGTGCTGCCACTGGTGTATTAGACATGTTTTAGGACTGTTGTTGTTAAAGCAGCTGGCTATTCTTCCTGCTAACACTAAGCCAAAGCCATTTATATGGGGCAATCCTGGTGGGTAACAAATTCAGAAGCAGTAGTGGAATTCCAGCAGAACATCCCCCTCCATCACATCAGAGAGTGGGAGCCTCTACAGAGCCCAGGCAACTTCTTCTGTGGGGTGTGAATGGCTCCATCTGAGAAGGAGCAGGTAGGCCCTTCACTGCAAAACCAGCACACATTCATTTTGTAGTCAGAACTTTTATTTTCTTTCTATCCAGGCTTGTCATTGACATCTGAAAATAAATTTTTTCATTTACAAACAGGCTAGTGCAAATTAGAAGTAATTTTGTCCAATTAAAAAAAAAGACAGACTGCACAAATTGTTTTAGGATGATCTTCCTGGAACAGCTGGCGGAGGTCGCCTAGGAAAAAGACAAAAATTAACCCCAAATTCATGGGAGGTGGGAAGGGGCAGAGAAGAGATTTAAAATAAAAGGTCAAAACACAATAAATTATCTTAATAAAATGGGTTAAGAGAAAAAGACACAGAACATGCACATTAAGGAAAAGAGCCAGAGCAAGATTAGAATCAGCTGGCTAGCAGCACAGCCTCAGCTTTCATCCTCACCGCTTCCCAGCTGACTTGCTGGTGCCAGAGAACTGGGACAATCACATCACAAGC